TTTTGGCCCAATATTGAATAATCCTTTGATAAACACATGCTTGGTTTTGTTTTTCCAAGGTAAGTCCCAAATAGCAATAGGATTCATACCAACCCCTCTTGTACATTTGATCACCTTTTCAAGTTGCTGCGATCCCCAGTCGGTCGCACAGAGGTGATGCGTAAAGTAAAGGCCGACCGAAATTCGGTTTCGGTGCCGAAAGTTGGCAAATGGCCGCTTTCGACATACGTTCGGTTTCGGCCGAAAGTACATTTTTTACTTTCGGTTTACTTTCGGTTTCGGCCGAAACTGATATTGACTTTCGGTCAACCGAAGATCTATTTTTAGAATATAACGCTAGTGCTACGTTTATCTCTCTGCCTATCGGCCGGTCAGTCGGCGCTAGGCAATCCTGCGATAGGCTGCAAAAACACATCAGCAGCAGCTTGGGAGCGAGGTTACAGCCGCAACGATGGTCTGTTAATGTCAACAGACGGCAGCCTGCTTTTGCATCCGTGGGTGGAGTCTCTTTGGCGGGACGACAACAAAGTGCCGTTGTTGTCTGTTCCCAGCCGCCTGCCCGCCTTGGCTTATGTGTTGCGTTCTCTTCAGTCTATACGCGTGTTGATACCGAGATTCGAAGTCTGACAATATTCTTCTTGGTTCTTTCGGTAAAGTCACTTAGAAGGGAAGTAATAAAATAATAAAAATAAAACATAATAAAAAAATGAAGAATTCTTCACCTGAGGACAGCTGCTTGCGTTGTGGCCGAAACGTCGTGAGAATTATTTTATTATGTTTTATTTTTATTATTTTATTATTTCCCTTCTATGTGACTTTACCGAAAGAACCAAGAAGATGAATCCCTGCAGTCACGAAAGCTTTAAATCGAAATCTGACAATATTGTTATTCAGTTAGTTAATAGTTACGTAGCGAATTAGTGATAACAAAATTACGAATCTGAGTGAAGTAGAAAATTAAACTTAATAAACGGAGCAGTTAATCACTAAAGTCGATTCTGATGCAAGAAACAGCAACCTGCTGGGCGAGAATGCGGAAAAACTGGTATTTCTTAACTACAACATTCGTTTGTTTAGATATAATCACCAAGTAACACCTAAAGATTTGATATTTAACGACTCTTACTGCAGGCTCTGAATGATTAGTTCTAGATACATTTTTTATTAAAGTAGCATTGCATCATGACCTATATATAAAAAATGAAAATTTGTGAATGTGTCTGTTCAAAATGTTTAGCGTACTTCCCGACATGCAACAAACTTTAAATTTGCCATGTGGGTACTTTCCATACTGCACACCATGCATACACTTTGGTATTATTTTTTTGGGGGGGGGGGGGTGCAATAATGCATATATTTTGCACGGCAAGCGAGCTGTGACGTCACATCTGTCATGTCACCCGCGCATGTGTAGCGCTTAGCGCTACGAACATGGCGTGGTGCTGGCCACCCACCCCCTCGTGTGCCATGCCGGCCTTCATAGGTACTCGCTAACAGCACTTGCCCCCTACAGTCTCACAGGCTACATGGTGGATTTTTGTCCTTATCCTGTGTGTATGTAGGGGGGGGCAGCGACTGCGTAGCGATTCGCGCGCTGCGCTACGAACCCGACGACCAAAGTTCAATTCCCACTCATGGCCACCGCCGGTGACGATTATTTGAACTGGTCCTGGGCCTCCCCTAGGTCGACTCAGCCTCAAACGAGTAAGTGGTGTGTCAACATCGCCACTGGGGAGACAAAGGCAGCCGGCCGTGGTGAATCCAAGTCCCGGGCGAAGCCGGGTAGTAAAGCTAGTATTTCATAAATCTTGTGTTCGGTAACTTTGGTTATAAACCTTTCTGTTTTGGTCTCGGTCGAAAGTGTAGTTCAACTTTCGGTTTTGGCCGAAAGTGAAGTTCAACTTTCGGTTTCGGCTTCGGTTTCGGCCAAAAGCCAATATTTAACTTTCGGTCTGGTTTCGGTTTCGGCCGAAACCAGAAATTCAATTTCGATTTAAAGCTTTCGTGACTGCAGGGATTCATCTTCTTGGTTCTTTCGGTAAAGTCACGTAGAAGGGAAGTAATAAAATAATAAAAATAAAACATAATAAAACAATTCTCACGACGTTTCGGCCACAACGCAAGCAGCCGTCCTCAGGTGAAAACCAGGTCCGTCGAGGCGACAGAGTCTGAATGAAACAGCACACGAGCTTGGAGCATATATATAAGCTGGGCGCATTGACAAAGGAATTTGCATATCAAAAGGAATTTAGCATATTTATGGGAAATGCAGAATTCCCTCATCAAGACTCTATATCATAGAGCCCAATGCATCTCCGACCATGAACACATTTCCAGTGAACTCAAACACGTACGCCAAGCTCTTAAGGCTAATGGTTACTCCGACTACACAATCCGCAAAGCCATCACTCCAACCATCAAGAAGGATCCTGTTGAGGAGCCTTTCAAGACCATCACCTTACCCTACATTGCTGGGGTCACAAAAAAGATCTCCAAAATCCTGATTAAACACAAGATCCAGGTCCGATTCAACACAGTACATAAAATCCGTGATCTGGTCCCGTCTGTAAAAGATGTGGTTCCAGACATACAGTACCCTGGCGTCTACAAACTAAGTTGCCTCTGTGGTAGCAGTTACATTGGAGAAACCAAACGACATGTCTCGGACCGCATCCGTGAACATAAGGCAGACCTGAAACACGGTAGGACAAACACCTCAGCCGTGGCAGATCACTGTTACAACTCAGTGGGCTCACATGATATTGACTTCTCCAAGACAGAGGTTCTCTGCAAGCCATCTGGCTATCATGAGAGATTCGTTCATGAGGCGATCCACATATACAAACACGGAGACAATTTCAACCGAGAAGATGGATTCTGGCTTAGCAATCATTGGAAGGACGTAATAAACCATTTCGGATCTTAACTGATTGTGTTCACGTTTACGGTGACTTTCAGACCGCGTTCCACTCACTGGCATGGTGCAGTGTGCAGAGTAATGTATGGTGTCGTAATTGTATAGTAAACATATAGCAGTGTGATACACATTAGGGTGGGTAGAATAATACATAGTGTTATATTAAAATGGATAAGGCAGCAACTGCAGCAGCAGCAGCAAGTGCAGCAGCAGCAGTAACAGCAGCAGCAGCAACTGCAGCAGCAGCAGCAACTGCAGCAGCAGCAGAAACTGCAGCAGCAGCAGCAACTGCAGCAGCAGCAGTAACTGCGGCTCCCTTTGATGCTGTTAATCCTGCATAATGCACATGCATATGCAGTACTAATCACATTCCTGCATTTTCCATAAATATGCTAAATTCCTTTTGATATGCAAATTCCTTTGTCAATGCGCCCAGCTTATATATATGCTCCAAGCTCGTGTGCTGTTTCATTCAGACTCTGTCGCCTCGACGGACCTGGTTTTCACCTGAGGACGGCTGCTTGCGTTGTGGCCGAAACGTCGTGAGAATTGTTTTATTATGTTTTATTTTTATTATTTTATTACTTCCCTTCTACGTGACTTTACCGAAAGAACCAAGAAGATGAAGTAGAATTGTGTTAAATAAAGTACATACAGTAAAAAACTCATGAAATAAACTTAAATGAAGAAAACTAGCAATAGAAACATGGGGAAAAACAAGCTCTCAGCATATAAAACAAGCAATGACATAATGCTACGAAATGAAAGAATTACATAAGACGACAATAAATGCCTTAACCCTCGTGGAGCTCAAGCGAGGCGTAAGGTTGCCCCTCGCCTTACGTCTCGCTCCACGGTATTCATCCGCAAACCTCACTGTGCTGCAATATTTGCGCTTACGTAATTAACGCAAGAATGTCTGCATATCGATGTTTTATTGTTACATGATTTATGGAAGCATTCCCATTAGGTTAGATTTCCTCAAGTCAGATATTTCGCAACCTGTGGACTGTCTGTACATGAAGGAAGATTCGCATTGCCGTTTACGACAGATGCTGGTTAGTGAAGAGCATTCCAGATTGTAGAATGCCGGATAACAATATATTTTCCTGTATTTTAATACATCTTTACTTTCCAACGATGAGCTGTACTAGTCATGAATTGACATGTTTTGGTTACGTGACAAACCTTACTAATTGACCGTATTGGGTGGTGCCGGGATTAACGACATTTATTATATTTACGCAATCTAACCCAAAAACCTCGATTATGGACATTGGTCGCGAAAGCCTGCTACATATTCAACTGACAGCTTGGTAGTGTACCATTAAAATGTCAAGCAGCAACATTTTCAAAAAGAGAAAGCGTACAAAAAAGATGGCATCACCGTTTGTCCCTCTCCGATTGCTTGCCAAATACAAGGAAACTATTGCAAACGTGGCAGAGTGAGTAAAACTCGTAACTGCAAATCACAGACAGAAGCAAGCGACATCTTGTGTCGTTGACTCGGATTCATCCATTCTGGTCCCTTGCAAAATGTTTTTGACAATGCCTGAAAAACTTCGCTTTCACTGTTAACAAATAAATCTTTGGCTCATATTTGCAGGTTGTTTTATCCACTGCAGTAGCACCCAGTTACACCACTGGGGACTTCACACGAGACCAGCCGAGAGGCGTTTTGATAACATGTTCACATACAAAAGACAAAGATCCCCCGTGTAGCCTTAACAGACTGTTGGGGCAAGTGCCGATAGTGAGTAGCATCTATGAAGGCCGGCACGGCACGAGAGGGTGTTTGGCCAACATCAAGCCCGGCCGCCTTTGTCTCCCCAGTGGCGTTGTTTACACACTGTACCAGGTACTCATTTGACGCCGAGTCAACTTTAGGGGAGGTCCAGGACTGGTTCATATAATCGTCACCAGTGTTGGCGGCCATGAGCGGGAATCGAACTCGTGTCGCCGGGTTCGTAGCGCAGCGTAGCGCTAACCGCTGCACTATTGTGCACATGCAGGCAGATACAAACACCCTGACATACACACTCGTACACAACGTGGCCATACGACTGTCGTAGCTGTACCTTGCAGGTCGGGCACACAAACTCGCAGCCCGCGCGTGCGCGTGCCTTTGTCCTGCAGGCATGCTCCACACGAGACGCGTGTCCGCACACCGGCAGCAGGTAGGGGCGGCTGCGTGACGCGTCCCAGGCTCCACTGGGAAACAGACATTTTTTAAAATCCCAACCAAGGCATGGGATCAGAACAAGTGCTAAGGCAGCACCTGACGCGCAAAGACAGCGTCGACTTTTCCCATTTGAAAGCGGCCACTCCTCGTCATCATCACAGATTAAGGGGTCTGTAATTATGACGATAGACCTGATTTTCATTCAATCAGGTCTATAATTGAATGACAATCGTAGACCTGATTTTCATTCATTTAGGATTTTCTTTGGACGTCAGCTAATAAAGTAGATTATCGATTATTCGTGCTGACAGGGAGGACAGCCGCGGATAATTCAAAATCGCGGACATTAGATTACTTTTATTTAAACTATGAACTTCATACATTAACAGTACATCTAGCAACTAATTTACCTGGTGGTATTGGAACAATTCTTACATGCTTGTGTTGAACCAATGCCGCTTGAAATGATACAACAGCAGGCGTTGACGATGAAAAGCGTAAAAAACTATTCTGAGTTTATTGTCCCTTATTTTATGGCCTGCTCAGATCTTCTTTCGGGGACTCAATTCGCTACTTTTAGCTCTGAACATCAAGCGTAGCGAGTGAGCCTCTATGAAGGCCAGCAGCGTGCTGTTAGTGGTCGTGTAAGCAGAATCACAGCCGTCTTTGTCTCCCGAATCTACACTCGCAATGAACCGAGTACTCATTTAAGGCCGAACTGACCTAAGGGAGGCTCCCAAGAATGGTTTATATTTCGAGTTGCCGCTGTTTCTCCCCGTCAGAAATTAAATTACCTTCACGCATCTTCATGTGGCGTCTCCTTGAGACGACTGTAACTGCACGAGCTAAAGGCGCGTCTTTCTGTAAGCGCCACACTGCCTTACGCGAGACTTCAGTTTTACATTTTCCATCATCTACTCCTTTAACGGATGTAGAAATTTAAACTAACTTCTTTCGCACCGTACGTAGCCAATGGTGCTAATCTGATGTGCGGAGCAAGAACAAACACTAAAACACAAAACGCACGCGCATGTAGGCCGTGCTATAAACAATTACCTTTGATTTCCTGTGCGGGCAAGGACGATACAGTCCACTAAAACTACGAGCACGCGGCACACCACCAGCGGCCACGTCTCCTGCCGCGTGTGCAGGCGGTGCAACTGCACGGGCCCACACGGGCGGGGAGTTGCTGCAGTGCCATGCCACGTGGAGCAGAGGGGGGCATTGGCAGGCTTCATTCTTGCGTTTCTTGCACCAGAACCAGACTCTCACACAGAGACCCAGAGACTCTCACACAGAGACCCTCACACAGAGACCCTCACACAGAGACCCAGAGATTCTCACACAGAGACCCAGAGATTCTCACCCAGAGACTCTCACACAGAGACCCTCACACAGAGACCCAGAGACTCTCACACAGAGATTCTCACACAGAGACCCAGAGACTTACACAGAGACCCAGATACTCTCACACAGAGACCCTCACACAGAGACTCTCACACAGAGACCCAGAGACTCTCACACAGAGACCCTCACACAGAGACCCAGAGACTCTCACACAGAGATTCTCACACAGAGACCCAGAGACTTACACAGAGACCCAGAGACTCTTACATAGAGACCCAGAGACTCTCACACAGAGACCCTCACACAGAGACCCAGAGACCCTCACACCGAGACCCTCACACAGAGACCCAGAGACTTACACAGAGACCCAGAGACTCTCAACAGAGATTCTCACACAGAGACCCAGAGACTCTCACACCGAGACCCAGAGACTCTGACATAGAGACCCTCACACAGAGACCCAGAGACTCTGACACAGAGACCCTCACACAGAGACCCAGAGACTCTCACACAGAGACCCTCACACAGAGACCCAGAGACTCTCACACAGAGACCCTCACACAGAGACTCTCACACAGAGACCCAGAGACTCTCACACAGAGACCCTCACACAGAGACTCGCATACAGAGACTCTCACACAGAGACCCAGAGACTCTCACACAGAGACTCAGAGACTCTCACCCAGAGACCCTCACACACAGAGACCCTCACACACAGAGACCCTCACACAGAGACTCTCACACAGAGACTCACACAGAGACCCTCACCCAGAGACTCACACCCAGAGACCCTCACACAGAGACCCAGAGACACTCACACAGAGACTCACACAGAGACTCAGAGACTCTCACACAGAGACTCACACAGAGACTCTCACCCAGAGACTCACACACAGAGACTCACACAGAGACTCTCACACAGAGACTCACACACAGAGACCCAGACCCTCACACAGAGACTCACACAGAGACTCTCACACAGAGACCCAGACCCTCACACAGAGACTCACACAGAGACTCTCACACAGAGACCCAGACCCTCACACAGAGACTCACACAGAGACTCACACACAGAGACCCAGAGACTCACACAGAGACTCTCACACAGAGACCCAGACCCTCACACAGAGACTCACACAGAGACTCTCACACAGAGACCCAGACCCTCACACAGAGACTCACACAGAGGCCCAGAGACTCACGCGGCAGCGACTCCGTGAGCAGTGATGGCGGCGCGAGACCACGTGGTGACCCCACGTGCCGAGTGCGCGCGCCGAGTCACGTGGGGGCGGGCGGCCATCTTACCGGAGACAGTGCTGCACTGTAACAGCGGGGAGCGGCGGTGCAGCGGATAAATGTCCTCGGCGGGCCGCATGTGGCCCGCGGGCCGTAGTTTGAGGACCCCTGCTCTAGGCTATCGGGTGGGAGAGGCCGTTACCTCTCCGTGTTAGGTACGCTCTTAGTCGTTAGAGCGAATAAACGGTGTTGCCTACAAAGGGAAGTCTCTGCCTACTTTGTCAACACTACACCTGCTTACCAACAGCGGCTTTCGAAATTTGAGAAGTCCACGGGTAAGTAAGGTGTTAAGCAAGTCATATGACATGTGTATTACGTCATTGCATCACAGCATAACATCATGGTATTGCATAAAGCCATTAAGGACGTACTTTGTATCGATAGGGTTTTTTATTCATATTTTTTTTCGAGTCCGGGAAAGTGTTTATTTTGCCCTTAATCATGGACCCGGAGCATGGTCACAAGCGGTGAAGTTGAGAGAGTTGTGTCTGTGGCTTTGAGGAAGAGGAGGGTAGGTTGAGCCTCTGCCCCTCCTCCTTCTAACCAGCCCTTCCCCCATCATCTCATTGTCATCGTTTTAACACGTAGGCTTTCGCGACCAATATTATTCATAATCAACGTTTTTAGGTTTGATGATTCTGGATGCAATTACCAGCGAAACGTCGTACTCAAATTGTAAATGTTGTGGTTTCACGCTTCAACACACCGGTGGGCTAAAGCAGTGAACTATTTGTCTTTTGTCAACGTGACACTTTTTTACTGATTGGCCGTGTCGGGTGGTGGAGGGTTACGACATATTTATAAATAACGCGATCTAAACCCAAAAACGTTGATTATGAATAATATTGGTCGCGAAAGCCTACGTGTTAAACTGACTAACCTCTATGGGGAGGATACTTTTCTTAAAACCAGAAAATTGGAGAAGCTCTGCATTAAGCGGATGAAATTGAAATCTTCATTGGCGTTCCTCAAAAGGTGCAGAGATTCGAAGGTAATACCAAACGCAGTTAAAATAACACATCACATAAAGTCTTCTAAAGCTAACAAAATGCTACACAAAGCTAGCGAATTATTATTAATAGAGAGAATACAACACAACAGGAGTGAATTATCCAACATTTCTGAATCGCTAAAGCATTTACATTTAAATATAAGCAATAGTGTGTCCATGCATGATTGGAATATAATCGATACTATAACACAACAATCTGCTGATAATGTGTTTAATCTAACAAATGCTAACCAAATTAACAAATTTTCTAGACTTTACAATAAACAAATCCCTATTAAAAACGAACAATTTAAAAACAAAACCGTAATGAACTTGACTAACACTGATTTAACCACTGACATGATTTCTGTCCTTTCTAAAGGCCTTAACTTTGCCGTTACCCCACGCACAATTCCAGTGGATGAGATAATTGCTGAGGTAGAATCAGCAGTAAGACACCTTCCACATAATGAGGCAGAGATGACTAGACACGAGGTTGCCAAAATAATTGAGAATAGTAAAGTACCAAAAGTAAATATTAGCTTGAACGAGGCAAAAGCCTTAAGAGAGCTTCGTCTAAACAAAGATATTCAAATCCTAGCAGCTGATAAGGGCCGCACTACAGTAGTGATGTCACGAGCCGATTATGATAATAAAATTAAATATTTATTAGAGGAAAGTACCTACATTAAAATTAAACGAGATCCAAATAATACTTTGGAACGTAAGACTACTGCAATCATTGCAAATTCATTAATCCCAAAAAATGAGCAATTCCTAATTAAGCCAAGGGCTTCAAAACCACCTAGACTGTATGGGCTACCAAAGATCCATAAAATCGGCATCCCTTTACGACCCATAGTCAGTACAATTGGCTCTGCCACATATAAATTAGCAAAATATGTAACTAAACATTTACAGCCTTACATCGGTAGGACATCATCATTCATAAGAAATTCAGAACATCTTGTGAATATGATCAAAGATATTAAACTTAATCCTAATGATATTTTGGTGAGTTTTGATGTGATTTCGCTATTCACTAAGGTTCCAGTGAGCGAGTCGCTTAAATTACTTGATACACTGGTAACGAATACAGGTTTACCAAAAGATATTCCGAAACTCGCAGACCATTGTTTAAATAACACTTACTTCTTATAGAGAGGCGAATTCTTTAAACAAAGGGAGGGAACAGCAATGGGCTCTCCTTTATCTCCTGCTATAGCAAATTTGTACATGGAAAACTTTGAAACCAGAGCACTTGCCTCGAGCACATTAAAACCATCCTTTTGGTTTAGATATGTGGATGACACTTTGGTTGTCTGGCCACATGGTAAAGATACACTTAACGATTTTCTAAATCATCTCAGTGCACAAAACCCGGCCATTCAGTTCACCATGGAAATGGAGGTGAATAACACACTCCCGTTCCTGGATATTTTACTTGGGCATGGCCTAAATGGTAAAATAACACACAGCGTTTACAGAAAGCAAACGCACACTGATGCCTATCTGAATGCAGATTCGCATCATCACCCAGCTCAGAAATCCTCTCTTATCAAGACGCTCATACATCGGGCTAAAACAGTGTCAGATGGTGAAAGTCTAGTGAGAGAGATTAAACATGTTAAAGAAGCACTAAGACAGAATGGCTACAATAATGCTCAAATTAACAGAGCACTAAATGCCAAATCACGATCGCAAAGCAACACTGCTGAAAGCGATCAAATTATTAAAACAATAAAATACCATCTTCTTGGTTCTTTCGGTAAAGTCACGTAGTAGGGAAGTAATAAAATAATAAAAATAAAACATAATAAAATAATTCTCACGACGTTTCGGCCACAACGCAAGCAGCCGTCCTCAGGTGAAGAACATGTCTGTCGATAAGACAGAGTCTAAATGACACGTATTAGGCTTGGAGTGTCTATTTAAGCTGTGAGGGAGGAGGAAGAGAGCCTTGACAAAAGAATTTGCATTTGAAGAGGAATTTAGCATATTTATGGGAAATGCAGGAATGCGAATAGTGCTAATTGTGAAATGCGTGGGAGGTGGGCGGGGGGTTTTCAAAGTCATATTATGCCCATGCATTATGCAGGATTAGCAGCATCAAAGGGAGGGGGCAGGGGCAGCACCAACAAAGGGAAGGAATGTGAATAGTATGCAGCTGCAGCAACCAAACAACCACGTAAAAAAACTAAAGTATAAACTTCATACTATCATCAGTATACTAAATATACTCTCCAATAAGCTGAGCTACTAACAGTAAGTAATACATTACAATTTGCCTCATGAACGAATCTCTCATGATAGCCAGATGGCTTGCAGAGAACCTCTGTCTTGGAGAAGTCAATGTCATGTGAGCCCACTAAATTGCAACAGTGATCTGCCACGGCTGAGGTGTTTGTCCTACCGTGTTTCAGGTCTGCTTTATGTTCACGGATGCGGTCCGAGACATGTGTAGTGACATAAGAAGGGAGGGGCTGCTGGGGGCTCTGGGATCCCAGGCGAGTCCAGACGCTTAAGCCTCTGGGCGCCAGGCGCTGGGTTCCCAGGGGGTCCAGACGCTTAAGCTTCTGGGCGCCAGGCGTTGAGTTCCCAGGCGCTTAATCCCCTGGGCGCCGCCAACGGGGGGGGGGGGCTGTGTGTGCTCTGTGGGATGTCTGGTGGCGCACACGGCCCCACCCCTCGTTGGACCAGGCATAAAAGGAGAGCTCCCTGGACGATCGGGGCCCATTTGTAACTCTAGACCCAAGACCCACGACCAGCCATCTGAAGACCCTGGGATGCTGTGAGAGCCAACGCTGGGACTCTGGAACTCTCGACGCTACGACTTTGTGAGGGCGAGTTCTGGAGCGTAGCCAGAGTAGAGTATCTAGGCTGTGTAGCTTAGGCTGTGTACCTAGGCTGTAACAAAGTATCAGGACTGTTGGAGCATTGGACTGTTGGAGTGTTGTATTGTAATAAAGAAGTCACCTCTACAAGTGTCTCCGGAACCCGTTACATTTGGCGTCAGAAGTGGCTATGGAGACAAGAAGTAAGCCACGTACCTTCAGTCCTGACGGCGATGAAGAGGAGCAGGCAGCGATGGGGCGGCCAACGCCGGCCGACAGCGACGCCGCACCGCCGGCTGAGCAGCTGTCTGCTCCGCCGACCGTCCCCTTTCCAGCGTCGGGAGCAGAGATGGAGGAGGCGCTGCTTCGCCTCGCAGAGCTGCTCTGCGCCACCGCCTCCCTCCTGGGCGAGCTGCGGTGCTCGCGGCCGATGGCGGGAGGGAGAGAGGAGGCGCGGCGCTCGCCCGAGCCCGCCGCCGCCATTCCCCCCACGGATGTGAGGGATACTTCCGGGAATGACATCACTTCCACCAGAGGAGCAGTGACCGCTGGGAGCGACGTCACTTCCGGGCCCAGCGTGTGCCAACCCGACGACGCCGCGTCATCAGCGCTGCGTCCCTCACCGCCGGGTGACAGCTGTTGGCAACCTAGCAACCCCGCGTCATCAGCGCTGCGACCGGACAGTGAGGGCGCCATTCTTACTGTAACCAGCGCCGGGGCCGGCACATGGACCGACACGCTGGTCGCCGCCTCTGCTGCTCTGGCCAAAGGTTGGAGGTCGGGAGACCAGGCCCCTGACACTTCGTACATTTTACGCGCTCCGGATTAATGATTTTTTTGTTGATATTTTCTTCGTTGTCGTCGGGGAGTCGTGACTGTTGTTGGGTAAACTGTGTGGAGCTTCGCTCGTGAGTGTTGTCAATGTGTGTGCGAAACTTGCTTGTGATTGTTAACAATGTATGGTTTATATTGAGCTTTGTTCGTGATTGTTAATGTATAGCTTGTGCTGTCATTGTTAATGATGTATATACTGTATGGGGCATTTATCTTGAGATGGTGACATGCTGCCAAGGATTGGAATTGTCATGCTGGCTCTCAAATATCTTGGGGTGCAGATCCTGACCAGGATGTCCCAGC